TCCACTGGAGAGATGCACCATTATTTATTTGATCAGTCCCCTATTGAGGGACATCTGGTTGCTTCCCAGTTTTTATTATTACAAACAATGCTACAGTGAATAACTTTGTTCATATAACATTTTACACCCATGCAAACATAACTGAAGAAGAAATTTCTGCAAATGAAATTTTGGGATCAAAGTCCCATATATTCATAGTTTTTATAGTTATTACAAAACTGCCCTCAATTGACTAATTGCACTCCAACCAACAATTTATGAGAGGACTTACCCTCCCACCCCTGCTTTGTCAACACAGTGTATTATTATTACTATTATTATTATTATTATTATTATTATTATTATTTGAAGCAGTCTCATTCTGTTGCCCAGGCTGCAGTGCAGTGGTGCGATCTTGGCTCACTGCAACCTCTGCCTCTCGGGTTCAGGCGATTCTTCTGCCTCAGCCACCCGAGTAGCTAGGATTACAGGCATGCACCACCACACCTACCTAATTTTTGTATTTTCAGTAGAGATGGGGTTTCTTCATGTTGGCCAGGCTGGCTTCGAACTCCTGGCCTCAAGTGATCTGCCCACCTTGGCCTCCCAAAGTGTTGGGATTACAGGCATGAGCCACTGTGCCCGGCCAACACAAACTATTATAAATATTTAAAACTTTGCCAATGGTATCTCATGGTAGCTTTCAGTAGCATTTCTCCAGTTATGAGGTTGGCTATCCATTTTGGTATAGAAGCCACCTGCTAACTTTGATACCCTGCTCTCCAGGCACAGGGCAACTACAAATGACTTCGGATCACTTTGTTATCAGGATTTCCTAACCTACTGTTTTGACAGATCCCCTGAGCTAGAGAACTTTGTTCATTTTCTTTTATTCTGCCCCATTTTTTTTTTCTAGAACTATCCCAGGCATTTCTTAGGCACTCGGGAAATTTTACTTTAAAATCAGTATTTCTAGCGGCTAGCACAATGACTAGCATAATAGTAAGGGCTCAAAAAATCTGAAACAAATAAATAAGAACCATACAAGAAACACTCACTACTCTACATGGCTACGTATTCATCTAACTATCTGTCTCTATTTGCAATGCCAATTTTAAAATGAAAGTTAAAGCTGCATTTAGACATGATAGTTTAGGTGTCACTGTGATCTATTGTTCTAAAGGTTTTTTCTTTTGCAATATTAAGTCTAAAGTGTTACCTTTTGTTATACAGAGAAATTCCCTGTTTTTTTTTTTATTTTTAAAATAAGCTTTAAGATCACAATGTATTTACTCTTTGCTCTATAAGACCTGAAATGGCTCTTGACCTGTTAACAGTTTGTTGACCGTCATGGGAGGTGGGGTGGGAACATCTTTTCAGTTTTTTCCAGGGTAGGGGGAGGAGAGCAGAGGACTCATTATGCTGATCTATCTTCACTCTCTTGGCCAAACCCACTCATGACCATGGGCACAAACACATGGGACACCTTGCTGGATTTTTGTAGAGAGTGGTCTGAGCCATGGGAAAGAAAACAAGTTAACAGTCAGAATCTGTACCTCTTGATTGAACTGTTAATATTGCCACATTAGCACCAAACTCTCACCACGTCGCTTGGGAAGGTATTGTATAGGCATTTATACTCACCACACAAATAGCTTCTGAAAAACTTGGGGATGCAAAGGCTGAAGGATAATATTCATTATCATCATTATCATTATCAATAGTAATACAAGCTAGCATTTATTGAGTGCTTAATCTGTTCTAACTGTTCTACATCTGTTAATACATTTACTCCTATTATCCCATTTTATAGGTAAGAAACCTGAAACAGTGAAGTTAGATAACTTGAACAAGGTGACACAGCTAGTAAGCGTCTGAGTATGGTTGGCTTTGAGCCCAGGCAGTCTGGTTCTGGAGCTCACTCTCTGTTTTGTTTTGCAATTCGCAAAAGATAAAATGTTCTTTTTTTGAAACGCACATTTTTTGGGGGGAGGGGGAGATTTGGTCCCCAACTGGAGCCCTCCAAGCTGTCATCGGTCAGTGGCGACACCAAGTGGTAACATGGATGTACTGCAGCCCTCTTACAACTCCCAATTCCCCCCCAATTCCTTGCTCCCTCCCACTCGCTCCCCAGCTCTCCCAAATAAACCTGTATGTACTTTAAGTAAAGCCAATACGTTTGCTTTGCAGAGGCAGTTTCGTGACATGTCTCCCTCCAACCAGACTGCCATCCTTCAACCCGTTTTTTCCTGTATCAGAGGAAGAGGTGTCTGAGGTTAGTTTGTGTTTTGAATCTCATTTCTCTCCTCTCAATTATTTTACTCCATTAGTTCTCCCCTCCTTTTCTTGCCTCTTTTTTGTGTGTATGTGAGACAGAGTTTTGCTCTTGTTTCCCAGGCTGGAGTGCAATGGCGCAATCTCGGCTCACTGCAACCTCTGCCTCCTGGGTTCAAGTGATTCTCCTGCCTCAGTCTCCTGAGTAGCTGGGATTACAGGCGCTGGCCACCATGCCTAGTCATGTATTTTTAGTAGAGATGGAGTTTCATCACATTGGCCAGGCTGGTCTCAAACTCCCGACCTCAGGTGATCCACCCGCCTTGGCCTCCCAAAGTTTTGGGATTACAGGCGTGAGCCACCGCACCCGGCCTCTTGCCTCTTTAGTATTGATTTCACCAGTAGTTTTTCTGCTCGACCTACATATAAGCTCCAGTTTCTTCTACTTCAATGAGAGAAAAAAAAAAATCAAGCAAACAATCAGACCTCTCTTTGAACAATTACTCTAGATTCACCTTTTTAAAGATGAATTCCAAAAGGGGATTGCCTTGCTCAGAAACCTCAATTCTTTGTCAGTCACTTTCTGAATTAAGTATAAGTCTTAGTCCAATATTCAGGACCTCCAAAATTGGGCCCCAATTTACCTTCTGGGTATTATCTTCCACAATTCCCCTGTACTTCCCTACCCTAAACTTCAACCACAAAGGACTACTCATGGGTCCTCATAAAACTTCCTGCCTGCTCATCTTTGCCGTTGGTGTTACCTCCACTTGGATTTACCTTTATTAGAGGCCTGTACTGATATTTTCTGATACTAATATTTTCTAGTCATTTGTGGCTATCCCATACACCATGAGTGCCTGAAGGAAGGAACTGAATGTTACCAGTTCAGAAAGCAAGAATTATTTTGGACTGAGAAAACAAAAATCCAGCCATTCATCAGGCTGGAATAACACACAGATAAAACCAGATGCAAATTTAACAGAGAACAATATTTCTTTGGCGGACATATTGCAGCTGTAAAGTGGTAAAGATGTTTTTATTTCAGTGACCACCACTTTTTTATTCACTGAGAGACTTTGTTCCCTAAAATCGTAGATTATCAGAAACTCTTCTGCTTGAAATCATATCAGTAAGAATGAAACATCCCACATGCATCTGGAGGACATAAGTTTCTTTGACACAGAGAAGCAGCCTCAATTTCCAACCCAGGTGCAGAGCTTCAGATAAGGGATATCTGGACACAACATTCCACATCTATCTTTATTTTGTGGTTCCCAAGGAAACACAACTCTGGGTTCACTTTGCACTTCAGACCTGATGGTGACCCCAAATGACAGTACTGCTTTGCTTTGAGCTTACCAAAAACACTGCTTTGTTTAAAATTCACCTAAACTCCACTCTTCTCTCCAATCCTATAAATGACTCTATGTTTTTCTGTTTGATGAAATGCCCATGGTTTCTCTGGTGTGCAGTCTCTCATATTGCAATGGGTCAAAGCCTGACTATGTTGGATTACAGATTTGTCCCTGGTAGCCTTATGCTGACTGGGCTAGGATAGGGGTTTTTAAATCCCTGACCACTTAGCTTGTCCAAAGTAGGCATTCCAAATTGTTCACTGCACTAGAGTACCTGGGTTCTAGTTAGATTACTTGGATTGATTATATGGATTCCAGTCTCAGGTCTGCCAAGAACTAATTAGCTGGATCATCTTAAGTGAGTCAGTGCACCCCATTTGGCCTAAGTTTTCTCTTCTGCAAAACGGGGTGCTATTTCTTTCAAACCTAGGGTAAGGGCTTTGGAGTCAGTTAGACCTAGGTTGGATTCCCAGTTCTTTTTTTTTTTTTTTTTTTTTGAGACAGAGTCTTGCTCTGTCGCCCAGGCTGGGGTGCAGTGGCCGGATCTCAGCTCACTGCAAGCTCCGCCTCCCGGGTTTAGACCATTCTCCTGCCTCAGCCTCCCGAGTAGCTGGGACTACAGGCGCCCGCCACCTCGCCTGGCTAGTTTTTTGTATTTTTTAGTAGAGACGGGGGAATTCCCAGTTCTACCACTTACTAGTCCTGTGACTTTTTCTTTTCTGAGCCTCTTAGATAATGCAGTACTAACAACTGCAGTATAGTTTTTGCAGCGTTGCTGAGAGCATCAAGTTGGCTATTAAAAGTATCACTACATTCCATCACTGTTCCTATTCCTACTATTATATGAGCTTAGGCAAGTTACTTAACCTTTCTGTACCTGTGTATTTTTATGAGTAAAAATGGAGAAATACCCCTCGGGGTTATTGTGAACACCAAATGAGACGAAAAAAGTAAAGGGCTTAGGAGAGTGCCTGACACATAAGAAGAAGCTTAAATTATGTGATCTAATGTTATTAGTATTAGATTTGTACTACTAATTACTCTGTGGGCCGAAAGCGCAGGATAGACAGTTTTATTCTAAGGACAACCCTTCTCCCCAACAAAAAAAGGCGCTGAAAACTGGAAATAGTGAAACACAATGGGGCATTGCGTTTTCAAAGGCAACTGACACGCCCAGCACTGGGATAGGACCCGCCCACCCAGTACTCATTAAATATGGCAGCGAGCGGGGGCGACGTACTGCGGCTGCGCAAGTTGAAACTCCTCCTGTCAGCTCCTCCCCGGTGGGCCTCCCCTCACCTCCGCTGGGCAGAGGTGCCGGGTGTGAGCCCGCCGTGGCGCGCACGCGCAGACGCTGGCTGGGCTGAGCCGATACTCGCGAGGCGCCCTGTCACATGAGCCGCGCGCCCGCTTCGCTCCCCCTCCTCCCCGGCTGGGCTGTGTGAATGAAGCTCTGCCGGCTACGTGGGGCGCTCACTCAACTTGGTGTCCTGGACGCCAGAGCCGACCGAGCGCGCTGCCCACCGGCGGCGGACACGGACTCCGCCGCTCCTGACCTCGGCGATAGGTAAAGGCAAACGGGCTGTCCCTTCCCCAACAGGTCCTTGGTGGGCCGCTGGCCCCCGGCCCACCGCCGGAGCACCCACTAAGCGCAGCGACACAGGGGAAGCGCAACCCCGCTGGCTTGGACCCCCGGAGATGGGGCTTTCTCGCGCCCGGCGGCGGCAGCCCGGCGCTTGGAAGAGCTAGACAGGCTAGTTCCAGCCAGTGCGGAGCGGCGTCTTCCCGGGAGCCCAGCCCTATTCTCCGAGTAAGGTCCCTGGGCTGCCCGAGTGAAGTTTCCTTGCGGAGCGGCGCCAAGCCCGCCCCGCTTTTGAATCGGAGTGTTTAGCCGCCTGCGTCCCCTTTCCCGGACTGGGGTAGGGTAACTGAGGTTGGCAAAGCTCAGCCGAGGCCCGGCTTTTCTCCCTCCGGCTCTGGACTTGCCGCTGGTTTTGTATGGGTCTTAGCGAAGTGGAGAAACTCTCGGAAAAGTAGTCGCTGCGCTGTTTTCCTTTTGCCACTTAACGAGCGTAGCTGGTTCTCTCCAGACTTTCGAGCCTTGCTCTTGAGCCCCTTGACCCATACGGGAAAAGCTTTACCTTTACATTGACGCACATTTCCTTTGATTAACATTTCAGAGCAAATCAGTTGCCCGGAGTTCCCAGCGAAGTTGTACCTGTGCCCGTGCGATAACGTCAGTGGAAGCTGCCCCGAGTAAGTGCGGGAAATCTAGAAGTTTGGAGCATAAAAAACCAGCACGAATCCACTTTACTTAAACTTCATACGTTTATTAGCAACTGCTCGGGTTTAATTTCAGAGATGTTGAATTTCGCCTAGTCCCACGGGACGACGATCATTACTTCTTAACTGCACGCGAAACAGGAGAAGAAAAAAAGGCAAATCAAAACAGACTGTCTCAGGTCTCAGATAAGTCATCGGAGCGCTTTTTCCTGGTGAATTCACCCTAGGAGTTTGTGAGTTCCTAGTTTTCTTGGACTTCGCGAACTTCTCCTTGTCCAAAGCACTGTCTTTTCTCTGTTGGTGTTTTGGGACTGGTGTACACATTAACCCTTTTGTCATTAAAGAAGGCCAACACGATTCTCACGTTAGTATTAGCCTTCAGTGTTTGTGCTTTAGCGCTTTCACTTAGGAGGCGGAGGCGTTGGTTGTATAAAAGATATGGAAATAGCAATCTACTTTAATGTTCACCAGGTCAAAAAGGTGAAGACTTTTAGAAAAAACAGATTGGCTTGTATGCTAAGTAGGGAAGACCAATTTATTAACTGAGATCTTGTTTAAATGGACAAGCAGAGTGTTAAGCCTCTAAGTCAAACTAAGTCGTCAGACCTCTCATTTTTTCTCCCATTCCTAGCTCCTATTTTTTTTTTTTTGAGACAGATATCGTTCTGTCACCCAGGCTGGAGTGCAGTGGCACAATCTCGGCTCACTGCAACCTCCGCCTCCCTCCCGGGTTCAAGCGATTCTCCTGCCTCAGCCTCCCGAGTAGCTGGGATTACAGGCGACACCTGTAATTATAGTGCACCACCACGCCCAGCTAATTTTTATATTTTTAGTAGAGACGGGGGTTTCACCATGTTGGCCAGGCTGGTCTCGAACTCCTGACCTCAGGTGATCTGCCTGCTTCGGCCTCCCAAAGTGCTGGGATTACACCACACGCCGCCCCTAACTCCTTTAATATCTTTGTAAATAGTATTGTCCTTTGACTGGATTTGAAGTTTTAACAACCGGAATTAGCTGAATTAATTTGGTTTTCTTTGAACTGGTATTCCATTTTTACATTTTTCTTCTTCTTTGGTTCATTTTCCCCCGATTATAAAAGCAATATATGCTCACTATAGGAAATTTGCAAAGGGTGGGAAAGTATAATGACACAAAGAGAAAGAACTACTACTCAAAGGGTATCATCACTCTTCACTTTTTATTCCGCTTCTTTTTTTCCCCCCATACAAGATCTGTTTCCAAACTTTAAGTATTCATAAACTTTCCTCTCCTTCTACTGATTTTTAAATGTAAAGTTGGGTATTTTGGGTATTTTGGGGGTTGGTTAGGGCACTGGATATTAATGTTGCTCTTCAGTCTCCAAAGCATGAAACTTCAAGGTAGGAAAGGTGCTTAACGGTGATTTCATGCAGCATCTCACCAACTGAGACTCAGAACTTATTTACTGAGGCTCCAGTGATTCATGCAGCATTGTATAGCACTGAGTGGCAGCATTAACTCGCTCCAGATCTCTGGTGTTCTCTCTCTTCAGAGATACCTTGCTGCTTAGAGGGAAACTTGACACTACCCATGCCTGCATATCTTAGAGAGGTTCGGAGAGGGGCAGGAGATAATTTTCAAGCATTTGAAGTGTATAGTTTCTTTTAGGTATTCATTTTTCTGTTTACATTTTCAGGTTTGGGGCTTTAGCACCTTGCAGAAAACAGAGCCACAGAGCTGCCTTTCTTATCAAGTCTCCCTATAAAACTGAGTGGCTCTGGGAAACTCAGCCTGCGACCCCAGAGTGGGTGAAGATAGGATCAAGATGGCCATGTGGCAGGGTAAGAAATTAGCACTTATTCTTCTAACTGGTTTTTCCTCCTACTCTATTCTCTACCCTCACCCAGCCATTCCCCACCCAGCCAATGGCAGGCAGCCAGCTGTTCTTTAATTTAACCCTTTGTCTTTGCAAGGACAAAACACATTAGTTTAAAAAGAAGCTGCTGCTAGCTATAAGTTTAAATTATTTAAAAGTGGGGTTGGAGGAGAAGTAGGAAAATGGCATGCCAGCAACATTTAAAAGAACTCCCTTCATTTAAACAAGTGATCGTTGGGGGGTTATATGCCAGGAGACAGGATATTTTTTCCCATTTGTGTTTTTCATTTGTTTCTGGCAAATTTCTATCATAAGATTCCCCACCATAAGATTGGGGAGACAGATGTCAGTGCCTCTCCAGCTTCATCTTCCCAATAAAAACTTTGTGATGTATGCAGTTTGAAAGAGCATATTTAATGTTACAGTGTTTATATTTGATACAATATAAACATTGAGAAGGAAAATGCCTATTTTAATAATATGAACTACCTGAGAGCAAAGCTCAGTAGTATCTTAGCTGATGTATTACATCTCTCATGAACTTGTGAATTCCTACCACATACAAAATTATGTTTTATTTTTAGTGGGGTTGAGGCTTGTGCCCTTTGGAGGGTTTAGGAATCTCCAGGGTTATGTGGGATTTTTATGGTTATCAAAAGTGAGTGTGGGTTTAAGAAATGATGACAAACACTACCAAAATTGGCCTGTGACCCATAAAAAGTTAAAGACCACTTAAATGGAGTAGAATGAAATAGCTTGAATATCTAGAAATATTCAGCAGGTTGGTTAGTTGGTGGTCTGATGTATCTTTTAAAAATGTTTCATTGTGTTGGTTGTGACTTTATGTAGTCACACAAATGTAACAAGTAGTTTCCATGTATAAAGATTATCAATTTGAAGACATTTATGGAAACGGGATTTGGCCTGTATGCTTGCTTTGACTCACACAATGGGCATTTATCAAGAGCAGTTTGGATATTCTTGCTTAAATCCTGAGACATTCTTTCATTCAACAAGCGAAATACAGAGATGAATAAGTTGCAGGATGCTAGAAGATTCCTTGTCATCTAAAGACAGACACATAAACAAATAATTTCGCCACGCTGAATAAGTTAGAATAGAGAGGTACAAAAAGCAAGGGAAGCCCCGAGAAAAGCTTGATGAAGTCTGAGTTTTGAGCTGGTCTAAAAAAATGAGTAGGAGTTTGCCAGATGGGCAAATGAGAGAATTGCATTCTGGGCAGACAGAGCAGCACTGTTTGGGAAGTTCCAAGTTGCTCTGTTCGCCTCATGTGAGATGTGTAGGGGCACGACCTCAGACGAAGCAGGGAAGGTAGTTGGAGGCCAGATAATAAAGAGCCTTGTATGTTCTAGGAAGGATTTTACACTTTATCCTGAAGACAAAGATTCTAAACAGGGAAGTAACATAATCAGATTTTGTTTTAGAAAGATTACTTTGGCAGCAGTGCTGAGCTGGAAATGGTGAAAACTAGGAGTCAGTCAGGAGGTTTCTGGAATAGTTTAGGGGAGAGATGGTAAGGGTCTGAACAGAAGCAGGGGCAGAAAGGTTAGAGAGAATGGGATTCTAGAATATTCTGTGAGTGGATGTGGCAAGAAATGGGCCTGGATTAACTACCAGCTTGGGTGCCTGGGGGCCACTGGTGCCATTCTCTGGCATGGGGAGCATGAGAGGCAGCTGATGGGCATGGGGATGGTACACTGAATTTGGATGACCTGTTTGGGTTGAGACACCTGTGGGCTGTCAGGTTGATGTTTCAAAGACAGTTTTGAAAGTACAGAACTGAGGTTGGCACAGATGGGGATCTAAAGTTTTGTCCCTAATGGTGCATAAAGAGCTTGTATTTTTTTTCTCTGTAGTTAATGGAAATGTCATTACTAGTTAATGATTTATTTTATAATAAACACATTTTAATGTTTAACAACTCTTAATCATAATGTCATATTTTCATAGTAAATAATGTATTTTGCAAGCCCAGGTCCTGAAATCAGATGTGCTTAAAATTACATTGAAGTGAAACCTCATTTTTCCAGCATTAGTGAAGAGGGGAGTGTTCCGTATAAGTAAGCTATTTGGGTAACTGCAGCTTATCCCTTGTTTTGGGTAACCTCTGAAGTAACCAGCAAAATATGATGATAGTTTGGAAGCAGTGTGGTATGATAGTTATATGTGTGGGTCTGAGTTCCACTCCATTGGTTCCGTCACTTGGTAGCTACGAGGCCTTGGGCAAGTCACTTAATCCCTCTGTGTGCAAGTTTTCTCCTTTACAAAATGGAGATAGCAATATAACTCATCCCATTGCTGAGTATATAGCCAAAAGAAAGGAAATCAGTATTGAAGGGACAGCTGCACTCCTATGTTTATTGCAGCACTGCTCACAATAGCCAAGATAGGAAATCAACCTAAGTGTCCATCACTGGATGAATGGATAAAAAACATGTGTTACATATATTCAACAAAATATTATTCAGCCATAAAAAGAATGAAATCCTGTCATTTGCAGCAACATGGATGGAACTGGAAGTCATTATGTTAAGTGAAATAAGCCAGGCATGGAAAGATAAATACTGCATATTCTCACTCATATGTGGGAGCTAAAAAATGTGGATCTCATGAAGGTAGAAAGTCAAATGGTGGTTTCCAGAGGCTGGGAAGGGAAGGAGGTTGGGGAAGGAAGAGAAGTGGGTTAATGGATATAAACATACAGCTAGAGAGAAGGAAAAAGTTCTAGTGTTCAATAGTACAGTAGGGAGACTACAGTTAACAATAATTTATTATATATTTCAAAATGTCTTGAAGAAAAAAATTGGAATGTTTCTAACACAAAGAAAAGGTAAATGTTAGAGGTGATAGATATCCCAATTACTCTGATTTGATCATTACACATTGTATACATGTATCAAAATATCACATATACCCCCAAAATATGTACAGCTATTATATATCAATTTTTGAAAAGGGGGAAAAGCAGAACACCTGATAGACTTGGTGTGATGACAAATTAAGCTAATATATGCAGATCACATTTACTGGAACATAGTAAACGCCATATAAGTGTGTGCCATTATTAGTAAGACATTTAGAATATTATTTAGCATATAGTAAGTGCTCAGTAAAATTTAGCAATAGCTGTTATTACTACTGTCACTATTATTTTCCTATAACCTGGGGTGTGACAGGGACCTTGTTCTGTGGAGGTAATTTCAGGTTGTCCTCGGAAGCCCTGTCCTGTGGTTGTCTGTTTGGGTCTTTAAATAGAAGTTTAGACTTGAAAAGATCCTTAGAAAACATCTAGCGCCTGGGCGCGGTGGCTCACACCTGTAATCCCAGCACTTTGCCGGGGCGGGGGGCTGGATCACGAGGTCAGCAGATCGAGACCATCCTGGCTAACACGGTGAAACCCTGTCTCTACTAAAAATACAAAAAATTAGCCGGGCGTGGTGGCGGGCACCTGTAGTCCCAGCTGCTCGGGAGGCTGAGGCAGGAGAATGGCGTGAACCCAGGAGGCAGAGCTGGCACACGCCACTGCACTCTAGCCTGGGTGACAGAGCGAGACTCTGTCTCAAAAAAAAAAAAAAAAGATCCAGGTCACCTAATTCCCTATTCCAGTATTCTTTCTGTGGGCTCATGGAAGAGGGAATGCGTGAGTCTGTTCTCAGCTCGAGGAAGCTTCTGAGTCAGTCTCTAGAGCTTGTTGAGGAACCTTAAGGACTACAGGAACCCAAATCTCCTTAGGTTCTTGGCTCATTGCTATCTGGTTCCTCCGTGGAGAATTTGATCTGAATTCCCATACCTCTTAAATGGGGCCAATGTTATTTTGACTTCACTTAATGGAGCCCTCTAATATATTTTTCTGGCCACTTTAAACAGTGTACTGAGCATAATTTGATATTTTTGATAACTCAGGGTTATCATTAATAACCTCCAGCCAGTTTGAAGTTGGAGACTTGTGTTGTCAGTTGTTATTTATTTATTCCATTAACATTTATTGAACACTAGTTGTACAGCAGGCACTCTGCTGGGCCCTAGAAACGCAATGGTCAGTGGAAACAGGTATGGTCTCTACTATCATGGAACTTATCAACCATGATAAAGGTAGCACTTCAAATTAATGAAATGATTTATTTAACACGTGTGCTGAAGTAATTTGGAAAAAATGACAGCATAAATTTAGAAGGGTTAATATAATGTTTCTTAATAGAGGAGGGGGCATCAGAATTACCTGTAGTGCTTTAAAAAATATTCCTACTCAGGTCCCCATTCCCCCAAATTGTGATTCAGTCTTAAGACCTGAGCATTGCAATCCTGTTTTAGAACTACGGCAATAGATAGTTTTTTCTTTTTTTTTGAGAGAGGGCAATGATAAAGGAACTAAAAAAATATGGAAGACTATGTATATAATCTTGGGGATAGGGAAGATATTTGTGTGCATAATATCAAAGGTAGAATAATGAAAAAGATTAATATAATCAATTATATGAAAATTTAAAATTTCTGCACAAACCATAAATAAAGTTAATGAGAAAACAAAAACAATTGCAGCAAGATTCATTATCTGTAACACAAAGACTTAACAGGGCAATAAGAAAAAACAAATATTCTACTAGAAAAATGTACAAAGGTCGAGGGAAAATGTGCAAAGGGAAATATATCAAAGAAGAAATGCAAAGGGCCAGTAAACATGTATCTCAGCAGTAGTCAAATAAAGGGGAATTAGAATGGCATACCATTTTCTCCAGTATAATTTGCAGAGATTAAAAAGGAATGACAGAACTCACTGTTGGCAAAGACGCAAGGAAGCAGATGTTCTCATACACTCGTGGTGGGAATGTCAGTTTGGCAATATTTATTAAAAGCTTTAAAAAATATGTTTACCTTCTGACCCAGCAATTCATTTTCTTGGAATTTATCCTAAGGAAGTAATTAAGGGTGTGCACAAAGATGTAT